ATGCAGAAAGTTATTGAAGAATCAGAAAAGGTCGTAAGTACTTCAGAAGACACTTGTTACAGAGAAGGTAAGATCTAGAGAAAGGTTCCAAAGCCTTAATAAAATTCTAGTAGTTTATTATGCTGTAATTTAGTCCGAAGTAAAAATGGCAGTCAGGATTAGGGTTGTAGCCCAGTGGTAGACAGCTTGCATAACATGTGCGGGGTCTTGGTTTTAACTCTAATTATCACAGAAGGGGGAGCAATACAATTTTCCTAATCAAATTAATAAACAGTACAGCACTTGGACAAGGGAAGAGTCTACAGTGAGATTCGAATAGTTTCCTAAGTCATAAGGCAGATTTATCTGGCTCTCAAGTACGTCTGACACAGTGGGGAGACTTTTCAGAGCACAGGCATCTATATGGTGTCATTATAGTTCTCTCAGCTGAAGAAGTACCATGTGACTCCAAGAAAAAGAGTTAAAAAACTAACGGTTTTGTCTGGGAGACTTCTGCCAAGCTGTGAAACTCAGAAAGGCAGTGCTCTTTGTTATGTGACAGTGGCATAGCCTCACCTTTTAGGATTCTGGGCCTTGCATACAGATGAAGTTTACTGCTTGGATGCATCCCCTTGTAGTGAACCTTAGGATGGTGGATTATAAACCTATGCCAATGCCTAAAATCCAACCTGTGTGTCATTGAATGTTGCTTGACATCATAGGCAAGCGGTTTGCAGGGTATCCACAGACCAGATGTATGAAGTGTGCATGCATATCACGACAGAAACCTTAAAGAGTGTGTGGCTAAGCATCTTCATATTATACTAATGGAAACTACTTTCAAACATGGTTAAAACTCTACTACCACATTCTCATTACCAAGGCAAGACCTGAGCCACAGATTTTCTATCTTGTAATCGGGGGTTGTTTAAAGCCGGTGGGATCTTGAGGAGGTCATCTGTGGGATCTCCCATGTCAGTCAGCTCTATTGTCTGAGCCAACAAGAAAATAGTGACTCATAAAATCCAGCAGCCTTGAGGAATAAATGAGAAGTGTGCTTTTTTTCTGTGCAGTAAATGCATTTCTGATCTTTGCAAATAAAAGCCTATCTTAAATACCTAGGAAAGCTGGAAGTTTAAGGGCCTTAATGACCAGATTCACATTTGTCAGTGCTTAGCACAGACATGATTGATAGAAAGCAAATTTCTGTACTTCAAATAGACAGACTTGTTTCCAGTAAAAAACACCTGTCTGCAATCCTAGCTTATACCAAAAATCTGCATTTTAAGCACTTAGGAGTGACAGGAGTTGTCAGAGTTTGAAATTCACCAAGGGAAATCTATGCACAACTGAAAGTCAGCTATGTGAAAACGCGGGCGTGGATATGCAGCTTTTACAGCTGCATTCCGTTGTTTTCCAACCAGAAATCCTGGAAAAGTAAAGGAGCTCATACATGTTGGAGGATAACTTAGCTGGGCTCCTCTGGCCCATGGAGTAGACACCCTTGCATTAAGCTTATGTAAGCACCATGTCCTGGTTGTGGCCCAGAGCAGTCTCACCTTTCCGCCTCCTTCTTGCAACTACACAGGGCACAATAATAGAGCTGGAGCAACCACTGTTTCCGCCACCTTGCTCAAGGCTCCATAGCTACAAAACACAGGTATGTTGTTTTCTCTCTAAGTGTGCAGTGTCTCAGGACACATGGCTACACATAGGTACATATTCGTCTGTAAAGTTACAGTAAATAACCAGTATTCAAGAAAAATAAAACCCTAGTAACTCTTCAAAAAGTCTTCATTGACTCTGTATGGTCTACAAAGCAGATTAAACAAATGATGTAACATTTAAGGCCTTCCACCCACTGATCTCATCACCGCTTTACACTACTTAACCTCCTTGTTCTAGTACACAACCCTGCTCCAAAATCCTGATAGCTAGTTCACTGTGTTCTGAATATGTATGCCTTTTTCAGATCGGAAGACACCACACATACACACACACACTTGTGTGGAAAACAATACTATTCAATGCCTTCTATCCATGCTACTTGCTACGGCTCAGCTAAATGCTGCCTTGTCCCTGCAGTCTCTACTACTCCGTTGCCAGGATTGCATGCTTTTACCTCTCTCTGTGACAACAAATTCACACTCCCATTTTCCTTTGCTTTAAATACCTCACACTCCCAGATATCCATTCCTAAGATGTGTGTGTATGTATGTACATGATAATCATAAATTATCCTCACACACAACACGTTGGAAAAGATTTACATTCATCAAGGACTTGCAGATATGGTAATCATGTGTAGCTGTTGGTACGTCCACACAATGGCAATTTCAGGACATTTAGCCTGTTGCTGTTAGATCTTTTTTCTTTCACCAAGGGTCCCATTTCAAGCCTCAGTCCCTTTGGAGAAATTCTAGGAAAAGCACTCTGTGAGTCTGCCCCGAGATCCATTCCTGGATTCACAACTTGTTGTCCACATCTGCTACTGAATCAGATTCGGGCAAGTGCGAACTGGAGAAATGAACTAATCATTGGCACCATCCAAACAAAATGAAAAGAGGGCCTCTGCTCTGTTGGCTGGATATTCAGGTTCAACATAATGGGGTAACGGCAGAAAGGGGGGAAGAAAACTCCAGTCTGCAGCTGTATATCACCTTCTGTGCTCCTCTTGTCGTCCCCCCACCACCTTCTTTCTCACCACTACGCCATGGAACTGGAATGTGTGAGGGGCATTAAAGGATTATTTTCTATAATCCTCTGAGAATATTTGCTAACTCATTTTACCACCCAGACCCTCTTCTAGTCCTTTTCTTGTTTTGCTTTGTTTTGTTTTCTCAGAATACATTTTCTTACGATGTTAAAGACTCTTAAGAAGTGACGCCATGCGTCTAAAATCATATTTGGTTTCATGGCTCAGCCCCCAGAACAGATAATATCGTCTTAATCCCAGTTCTGGTAACAAAGGTTATTTGCTTCATAGACTTTACTAAAAAGATTTGAACACAGCCTTAAAAGATATAAAAAATTTATGGAGAAAAACTGAATTAAAAAAAGTAAAAAGAGGTAACAAACACCAAACGCACAAAAGAGTTTGTGTGAAAGTTTTAGCTTTTTCATTCTTCATTAATTCATCAAATGCACAACTACTGGTCATTGTCCTTACAGCCGTGCTCATTAGAATAATTTATTCAGTTAATCCGGGTGACATTTATTGAGCATTTATGTTTTGCCATCTAGTAAACCAGTAAGTATAGCTTGTTGCACCCAAAGAGTTTTCTGAATAAAACTGAATAGAAAGTCCAGGAACAAAAAAAAAATCATAATTTTTGAGGCAAGTAAGCAGTACGACAAACTTGATGAATATATCTGATTAAATATCTGATTCGATGTCAAATTTGCATCTTAATGAGAATTAAATGTGTTTCCATTTCGTGTATCCTTGATCGTCCTCTTTCTCTGAATCACATCAGATTCTACTTGTTGACTTCCAAGTATATCCAGTTGGGTTGAGCTTGGAATTCTTACCAAGGGAATCATCAGTTGAGGCTTTGAGCTCTCCAGGCAGACAGATGGGAGTACTGTAAAAAAAAAAAAAAAAAAAAAAAAAAAACTAAGTCCAGTGTAAACTTACCACATGTGGCGGCAGGTAATATTATTATCCCAATGGCACGCACAGGTTTTTTCTTAATAGCTTCTTTGAAAATTCTTTCTTACACTATGGACCTTAGCTAGGCCGGTGGCTCTTAATGGAAAGACGATTTTTGTCCCCACAGAATCATATGGTTAAGTCCTAAGGCATTTTGATTTTGTTTTGTTTTCACACCTGGGGGAAGGAGACTGCAGGCCAGGTGAGCGGTCCAGCAGCTTCCTGTGAGAAGAGGCTGAGGGAACTTAGTGCCCAACTCTCTGTAACTCGCTGGAGAGGTCCCCAGGACCACAAGTCATAAGCTCCCCGCGCTGCGCGTTGAGGAGCGCAAGAGTTTGTAAACTCCATAGCTGTGGCTCGACCTGTTGCTAGCTTAAGCTCACTAGACAATAAGAGAGAAAACAGCACCGCATGGAACAGACCCTTCCCCTGGAAATCCGGGTGAACACTGGTCTCATATATGTGTGCGAGTTCTCCCAGGCTATCCATCTGAGTACTCATATCACCATCTCTAAGTCTAAAGTTCTCTTTTAAGACGCTTTGATTCCTTTCGTGGCAAAAAAAAAAAAAAAAAAAATCGAACTTGGGCTGGGAAGTGAGTCACCGCTCAGCAGCGAAAGGACCTTGTTTTTCTTTCTCTGAATATATTTCTTAATAACTTCAGCATGACCCTTCGCACTTGCTGGTTAAATCCTCTTAATGCTTACAACAAGCGGAGAAACAGCTATGACACAGTTTTTCAATGGCTAGCTACGGAGAGTTTTTTAAATACTGAAAATAACCAGAGGACAGCAAGCCCTGGCATCTATGTTACATAAGCAGATGTTGAAGAAACGGGCTGGTGCGGAGCTGTCTCTGCAGATGGACCTCACAGCTGCGCCAGTCTCGGGAGCGGCCTGGATGCAGCACACTTAGAAGAACTTTCTGTGGAAGGAGCCTGGCAGGAGTGAGGAGGGGTGGGCCGGGCTGCAGCAGCCAGCTCCCAGGAGCAGGGCGCCTGGGGCTCCCGGGGCCCATCCCCTCCCACCGCTGTCTGGGCGCAGCCTGCACGTCGAGTCCTCACCACCACCACCCCCACCACCCCCATCTTCGTCGCTCTGCCCCGCTTCGGAAGGAACCCTTCAGTTCTCCTTGGCCCGTTACTTGGCTTTTCGATGACAGGGAAAACACCTTAATTAGTGACAGTCGCTCACGGTTTCCCTCCCTGCCAAAAATATCACGCAAAACTGGAAAACAATCTAGTACCTGTCCCATCTTTCAGAATCAGATCCCCATCTCTCTCCTCTTCTACCGCTACTTGGCTCCCAGTTCCCAAAATCCATTCATTTCCTCCCCAACCTTCTGTAGTCTCTGCCTTTCTCTACTTTTTTTTTTCCCACCTCTGTTTCCACTCCTGTCTCCGCCCTCCCACGTCCCTGACTCTCCCCACTCCGGCAAGCTCCGGTCTCTACCCTCTCTGCCCCTCCCCAGACAAGTGTCCGACTCCACGGGGGCAGCCGGCCCGCCGCCGGCCGCCGGGCTCAATCTCTGCCCACCTACTGTGAGGAGCAGCTCCGCCCACCTGTCCATAAAAGCCAAGTGCAAGTTACCCGCACAGCGCAGAGGTCCAGAGCCCTTCCTCGGTCCTCTCCGTGGGAGCCCGAATCCCTGTCTCCCAGATCTTAGGAGCTCAAGGTAAGATAACCTTTCTAGGAGCAGCTGACCTACAGGGGGTTGCTGCCCGCCCGGAGTGAGTCGCTTCTGGTCAACACGCTGAGAGCTGATTCATAAGGATGCTGGGATGAACAGTGAGTTTCTTAACTAGTAACTGGTTTGAAAACAAACTTCTGTTTGAACAGTAAAATGAAAATTCCTTTTTGGCAGAAACAACAGCCTTTCTATTACAAAAATCTTTTCTCTTTTTAAGTCACCCTCCCCTGCCTCCCTGGTCTGTCTGACTGTTGCTGAGGTTAAATGTATCTCTGTAAGGTGTGATGCTTGTGGTTTTGATGGCAAATATTTCACATATCAGTAGAGGCAGGGAAAACCGTCCCGTTGTCAAAAAAATGCACTTTAAAGGAGCACAATTCGTTTTCTAAAAATAGCACAGCAAAAAGGTCTGCTGACGATTTTGCGGGGTTTTCCAAACCCCCAAGACAGCTTCCGTGGGTCCTTTAAGAAGTATCTTTTCAGGTTTAACTGCTTGGAAAAAATGATGTGAACCGGTGCCCTTTGCCTGGGGACAGTAATCAGGTGGCTGGTAGATAGGAAAGAACAAATCCCAGTTTACAAGCTGGGGCAGGAGGAGCCAATGCAGGGCTACCTTTCCAGAACATCCCCAAAGGAGACATGCGTGGAGACGAAGGAAGCATAGGAGAGAACTCCGTGACAGCTATACACACCTAAAACATAAAGTGTTTCAATATGCTTCTCAGAGAAGCATGCAAGCCAGATTACACCGTTCTTCCTGGGCAACAGACTGATGTATAGAGGGACCCGCCAGGAAGACGTCAGATGGAGCTTTTCATCCTTCCCATTCCCTCTGCTCTCCTGTAGCAAATGAAAATCTGCCTGGTTAGTGACTGACTCCCCCAGAGCTCTCCAGCAGGGAGAAGACCTTGGGTGTATGGGTGGGTGGGTGGCAGAGGTGATGGGTGGGTGGGTGGGGATTGATCTGTTCTTCTTCCAGAGTGCCCTGCACCTGTGAGAGGAAAAAACAAACGAGACAGTGACTTCTGTAAGAACTTGGGCCATGAAGTTTGCCACCATACTCTGTGGGTTTTGTGGGAAGAAATACTGTCACGTGGAGAAAAGCCCTCTTCAAGGGTTCCATCTGGGGAACTGCCGCAGGCTGCACGTGGAGGAGACAAGCCTGGGCTGCCAGTCAGGAAACCAACCCACCATTTCAGCCCTTAAGGTTCTTAAAGGGAGAGAACTGTTTACACTTTCATGCCTGTTCGTTGTATGTTGTTTCACATGGAAAGGAAATTTCAGTACATATGTAAAACACCTCCCTATTAAAGAAACACAAGACTTGGGTCTTTCTAAACATTCTCCTTAGCTTTCAGATATCAAAGGAAATAACAAAAATGATTTAAAAACTGTTTCAGATAGAAGGGCGTCAATACCACTCTTCCAGTGAAGGAGTTACATGTGGAGCATTCTGTCATGTTACGGGGGTTTTTTTTTCCAAGTGGAAAAATACTGCAGAGTGTGGTTTCCTTTAAGATAATGATATAAAATTACTCTTGGCCAAGATAATATGTGACCTGTGCATATTAAAATACCTTTATCTCTAGCCGCAGTGCAATACGCTTGCTTTATATCTAACATGAGCAATCAACCATGTCAAGACAAAGGTATGAGACAAAGCCAAACCAAGTATTTGGTACACTCAAGTTAATTCCTCCTTTAGGGTGGTACTTGACTCCTCCTGCCCAGCACCATCAGGGTAAAAAGATATTGCTTTCCTCCACTGCTCTCCCTCATCAAAGTTAACTGCTCTAAGGGGCAAACCCTTGGATGACAGAACTCTGTTAAAGCTGTATTTGAGGGCTTTAATTATTCTCTGAAGGTTTGCTTCTGCTCTCCCTGACAGTCTGGGCAGACCAGTTACGAACAACAACAACAAAAAAGAACAGTTCAACAGTAACCGCCTTCCCTGTGTGCTGTGAGGTTTGACACCCTTAACTAAATAGTAAGAGCATCTTGGACTGTTCATGCTGTAAACCTCCCAGGGGGCATCAGCAGTCAAAAGGAGTCTTTCCATAGGGTATGTACTGAGTACAATGGCACTTTACCTCTTATGACTTTAGAAAAATCAGTGGCGAGATATTATTTAGTTATCCTAATATCACCCCTTCTGCACAAAAAGTCAAAGGACAACCCAAGCCTCTTCTTCCTGTGTGTGGCCATACCCAGCCCATGTCACTGCAGCAGGCTACTGATAACTCCCTAAAAGTAAACAAGAGGGGGCATTCCTCCATCAGAGACACTCAAAGTGTGCCCTTCAGATTCTGAATGCCTGCCCCACTTGGAGAAATGCATGTTTTAGATTTCTTTTCCTATTTATGAATAAATAAAGTATCTGCATGATCAGAAGGCATATGTTACTTTATTTTTATTTATAAAGAAAAGAATAAAGGTCAGGAAAGTAAAATCAACCAAAACTGAGAGGGAAGCTGCGAGAATCATAGACATTCACTAAGAGAATGGTCCCCATCTGTTATCAAACACGACCTCTTATTTATGCAGAATTTTGGAGGCTGAAGAAGAGCAGAAGTGTCTGCTCTTGAGCTTCTCTTTGAATTTTCTTTCCTAGTTGATAAGAGCACTGCCACTCAGAATGTAAGAAGCATCTCTACTACCTTCCTCATGAGTCTTCCTTCTCCTCCAGAAGACAGCAGCATGGTTCTAAAACCTGAAATGACTTCAAGTGTACCTACTTCAAACTCACAGGAATTTTGCCAGTTTTATTTTTTTCAAGCTGTATTGTGCATATGAAACACCATGTTTTCATCTTTTATTGGGAACACCTTCAAAACCTGAAGGGGACAGTGTTAAGTGAATGTTTTCAAGTTAGGGGTATCAATTACTCCTCTTCTTTAGTATGGCAGCTTAAAGAATGACTAAGACTTCCAGTCTCTGCTTCTCCAAGTGACTCTGGAGAAACATATCTTAGTATGTCCTTCCACGTCCCCTTGTGTACATAATTTAAAGAAAGTACAGACCGATCCTGAGGTTTGGGAGGAGCCTCACAAAATGAACTGTTCTGTTGAGTAGAGTAGAGGATCGGAAGAGTTAAGAGGACAGTGAATGTCTCTGGAATTTAGAGAATCTTCCTCTTAGCATTGTGCTAACGGGTATCTTTTGATACATAAGGCGTCTAGTGGGGGGGGGGGCTCGCGGTGGGGGGGTAGGGAGGCTGCTCACAAGTCGTTATCAAATACTAAGGACATAATCATATTCATCATCATAATAAAATTAATAAACTATCTTAAGATTTTCGAATTAACTGCAGTTTGCACCCCACAGTCCTAAAGCAGAGCTTTGCTGGTCCCCTTCCCTTTGCGGAGAGATGAAGCTGACTGAAAGGTAGGAGAGTTAGCCACACTTCAGTACCAAGAGAAAACCTTTGGGTCAGAGGCTGCAGCGTGGCTTCAGTAACTCTGTTGTCTAAGGGTGGAGGTCCTGTATGAAAAATGAAAGGGGTCCCTGGAGTCTGGAATATCTCCAGTCTGGAAGCCCTGTGTACCCCAGTCCAGGAAGCCGTTGATGCTGCATCAGATCAAACTGAAGTAAGTAAAACAAACCCACTCCCCCAAACTAATCACAGTGTCATCACCTAAAATACTATCCAATACCGCTAGCTCAATTGGCAGGAGCCCCCCCACCCCCGTGAAGCCACTTGAGGAGCTTTTATAAGACACTTGCTTCCCCTGTTCTTCCTGGAAAACGCAGCCAGCCTCCTGCTGCAGCTGCAGTCACCATCCCTGGCTGCCACTGGCATTGCTTCTCCCATAGAAGGGGTGTCCTGCACCGTTACAGAGGATGGCATTCATTCTTGGGGTTTTTCTCATTGCTGCAAATCTCTTCATACTTCTTTTAAACAGACTATAAATGTTGACTCCATCAAGTCAGAAAGTTTTATAGTTTTCTAAACTTTAACTTATATGCATGGATGAAAAGTCATCAAGAATTACTTTGGGCCTCCAGTAAATTATTTGAGGTGAGTTTGGGGGAACTTTTATTTTTTCAGTAAGTTCAAACTTCTGGAAGGTTAGTAAAGAACTCAGACAATACAAATAAAATTCCTGGAAAGGACTTTGAGCCTAATTTCAACTAAAAGTTCATGTTAGAGATGGAAAAGGTCAGAAACATTGATGTCATTCACAAGGACACCAGATGAGTATAGCAAGCTGGGGCGCAAAGGGACAAAACTCCCTAGCCAGTTCTACATCTTGAATAACTGGTGCTTCTTCCCGCTCAACGGGAATCTGGGATGTCCCTAACTGTTCTGAGTAGCCTGTAAGAACTTAGCATGGGGCTCTCAGATGGGGGGAAGTTCAGGATACAGCTATAGCTCTACTGAAGAATGTGTCTAAAAGATATGAAATGACCCCCACAAACATCTTTGAGATTACTGATAATTAACATCATAGGAAACTTCATTGCCATTTTCCATGGCAGAATCTGAAATATACTAGCTAGTTGGTAATTCTGTGTTGAGTTGGGGAGTAAGTGAATAGGGGAAAAAAGTTAAACAGAAAATATTCATTACTTTCAGCTCCTATGAAAGACCCGTATGTAGTCTTAGGGACATAGAAGCACTCAAATTCTGGATGTATCAAGCTTAGGGTTTCCTCTTATGTTATGGAATGTATGATCTCATAACCTCATAACCTCATGGATGGCTGGAAAATCACCTTGTCTGAAGAACTGGGTAATTTTTCCTACTTTTACCTGTGCTCTAGAATTATATTTCTGTAACATGCTTAAAAGTTAGTTTCAATATTTACATGGAAAAAGAACACTGAGTAATTATTTGCATTAATACTTATTTGAAATAATATTCTTTATACTGTTCCCTCCCAAAAGACAATGTGTTATCCGTTGATTCTGTCCTTCCCCAGTTCTTTAAGGAGAGGAAAGGCAAATGCACACAACAGCCAATCAGAGAAATGGTGGATCCACAG